ATTGGTTTTCATAGTAAGACATTGATGATCCATTTTTACAGGATAATGGGTTTAGTACAGATTTGTTTTTGTGTGCATTTTGTATTGAATGTAATATAATGTGGGTTTATAAACAAGAAGGAAGTGTTGAGCTCAAGAAAAAAATAATCTTCTCAAAAGAGGTTCACTAAAGTATCAGGTGCTTAGTCTGTTGGGATTTACAAGAATCAGGGCAGTGCTTTGAGTCTGCCTTGAGGATGCTTCCTTGGTGTCTTCCAGGTAGCAGCCTCCTGACAGGCCCAGAGGGACTTCTGGCTAAAGAACGTGAAAACCTGAAACGGCTGAAATACTTGAGGCGATATCGGCAGCGTTATGGTGTGGAAGCTCTTCTACACCGGCAGTTGAAGGAACGCAGAATGCTGGTCACTGAGGGTGCTGCCCAGCAGGTACTTGAGTCAGGCTGTGCTTCTGTACCTACTAGGCACAGTGGAGCTAGAAATTGTGGGTTTTGTGATTTTCCTCTGAAAGTAAGGCAGGGCTATAAATTGGCTCTGAAATGTTGGAAGATTTTCAGATATGACACTATTTGTTTTGAACAGGGCACAGAATTATTGTATCGGCTCAGCCTCTTACATTATTACGAATACATGTGGAAAGAGATGTTGAGGTGATTCTCTATTGTGTGTTTTTTGATTTCTGAATGGAAGAATGTATTCCTGTAAGAGCAGCTTTTCCACCAACAGCCTGCAAAATTATCTTGTGCTCTGCAGGCACACACCACCCGTTCTAGCCAGAGGTGTTTGGCCTTTGTGGATGATGTTCGATGTTCCAACCAGTCTCTTCCAATGACAAGACACTGCCTTACTCGTATCCTTTTAACCTGTCAGTTGTCTGTATTAGTACTTCTGGAAGTAAGAGAAGAATTGAATTGAATTGTTTTTCTTTTTCTTTTTTGTTTTGGCCCTGAATCAAGGCTGCTGGCTTGCTGTAGCCACTGGTTTCAAACAGGCGCCCAAAGAAATGTCTTCCTATGGTCTGTTGGCTGTTCAATTGCTTTAGACTAGAACAGCCAATTCAGTTGGAAGCAACAAGCAAACCTCAAACTACAATAAGGCCACTGTCTGAAATAAGACTGATCCCTTCAGAATCACATGTGTGGATACTTGAGTAGTTCCAATTCCACGATGATCCTTAAATCTTATATTCTGAATTTAGACATAATTTGCTGCTGACTTTGTGTTATATTATCCTAGTGGTCTACTCCTGCATTAATTATTCAGCTGCTTTTGGTTTGCTAACTGCTTACTACTAGTTGTGATATGCAGAAGAAAAGGTATCTACTAAAAATTCAAACCCCGTGAGTTTAAAAGCTGGTTTTTACTTTGAGGCTAAAGTCCAGCATTTCCCCCTTAATGTGGTGGTGTATCCCTAAAGTAAATTTAAGCTGCTTTAGATTATTTATGTACAGACTATGATACTGCACATGGAGTTCAGTTGTGCACCTTGATGTTTTCTTCTAAATAGAAGTATTTCCAAGGAAAATGGAAATAAATAGGGAGCTGTCACCTGCCATTCTATATATCTTATGTACTCTTCTGCAAATTATTCATTATTTTTAATGAAACATACAAAATGGCAGGCCTGCTGACTTAATAAAAGTCTGCTTTTAACACTTCCTTTTAGTTCTCATGCCCTGGAATGGCTGACCTTGCCTTTTCGCAAATCTTGCTTGTCTCCTTTGACTGCGTCTTTAGATATTTGCCAGGATACCAATCAGCTTCTATTTAAGCTGTGCCAAGGGTCAGAAGAAGCACCCTGCAGCAAGCCAGTGCCTGTAAGCCTCTCTGAAGACCCCTGCTGCCCACTCCATCTCCAGCTACCACCTCAGATGTATGTTCCTGAACAGGTACTGTCTGTTCCCGAGGAGCTGGAAGCTGCTTCCATGGATCTGTACTTGAGCGCAGCTGAACTCCGGCCCACAGAGAGCTTGCCGCTGGAGTTCAGTGATGTAAGTGAATTGTAATGCAGCACCTGCCCATGGCACTTCAGAAGGCACAGTTACCTCTCACCTGGGTATGAGTACTTCAGTAATGACATGGGTTGAAGCTACATGTAAATGAGTAAGGGGGGAGAGCTCTGATACATCAAAAACATGGATTATCTAGGAGAAGCAGGCACCATGGGCATGGTGAACAGGGCTGACATTTGGGTGCAGGAAAAAGTGTGTCACTTGAAAAAGTAGGTTGCTAATGCCATGCCTGTCGATATTTCTAGAGGACTTAAATAAATTTGGTACATTAAAATAAAGTAGACCCTATTCTCAGGTTTGCAGTCTAAATAATAGACTAAACTAACAACTGAAGGGGAACAGAGTGAAAACTCAAGAGGTGCAAGATCAAGCTGATTGGGCAAGTGAGGAGGTGAGTGTTTATCAGACATTTAGAGGGCTACTGAGAGACTTCCCGGCATAGGAAGCAAGAAAGGAGGCTGTTGGGGCATGAAGAATGTCATTTTGGATTAATAGAAGACGTTTCTGGAGGAACAAAGGGGGGGGGGTAAAGAGATTAGTGGGTGTGAGAAAATGAAGATACTTGAAAGTTCTTTTTATAAAAAGTGAAGGGAGAGCTAAAGTAGAGAATGGAGGGGTAACATGATCAAATGCTTCTTCCTCCATGTTAAATAGAGGCACTTACACCTGTGGAAAACCTAGTTTTCTTCGATACATTGAGTTTGTATATGCATGTGGTTTTTTGTGGGTGGGGGGGACACTTGGAATGTGTGGTCTCCCAGCTGCTTGCAGAGGTGGTACATTCCTTGGAGGTGTGCTGTTTTGGAATATGTAGTTTCAGCTTTGTCTAGAAAAGCAGCACATAAATATTTTAAAATAAATAGATTAAGAACAAAATTATGGGTTCCTCATTGTGTATTTGGAGCAAACGCTTGTATTTGTGTAGGGCAGTGAACTGATGGCCTGTTGTCATGTTCCTTGCCGTGACTGAATTTTAAGTGAAGTAATTTTGTCGATTCATATAAAGGCATCTTGTTGGGAAAGACTAGAACACAAAAAGGTTAGATTGGGCCTTTTGTAACCCTTTGAAAACATCAGACCTTTAAAATCCGTATTTAAAAGCTTTTTTTTTTTTAAAGCAGCTTTTTCTCTATCCCATAAGGGTTTGTGTGGGTTATAATCCTTGGATTACTAGGATGGCCTGTGTGTTTGCTAAATCTATGTACTTTATAAAAAACAAAACATTGTAGACACAGCATGCTGACTGAAATGTCTGTCTTCTAAAAATAATAGTGTAAAATCAGCTAGCAGTTTCATTCTAGGGCCAGCTCTGAAAGTGGTTCTGAAAATAGTGAGGGCGTCAAGCTTGTGCTGAACATAAGGACATTTGTGGAGATGTGTGTAATGGGGGGCTGTTGAGTCCTATCAGGCCATACTCTTCTGTATGGATCCTCTTCCCATTCATTCAGCATACATCCCACTGTAGGGAAAGAGTTGGAGGTCTGCCACATAGTTCAGCAAGGTCTATTGGGTACAGTGAGCACTGATCAGATTAGTTTCTCATATATAACTTGTTCTGAAGTGCAAGCACTGGGATGGTGGCTTTATCATGTGGTTGCAAATGGGGACATTTTCTGTGGGGAGTAGAGTGTATTAATGAGCTTCTGTGTGGGCCTTTAATGTCTTTTCCAAGAGGAACGTTAGGGCTTAATCCCGGCTGCTTTCTGGGTTACACTGGATTCCAGCTGCAAAGCCCTAGGCAGCTTTGTATCATCCCTGATGGCATTTATGCCATTATTTTGCTGTTTCAATTAAAATCAAAATCTCCCTAGATAGAAGTGTCCATATATTTGTTCTGAAACTATTCTGTTTTGAGGTAGAACCTTATCAAGAGGCAGCTAGGATCTGTCTCATTTTATCAAAGTGGCTGTTCTGGAATTGTAAGTATCTCCTTTCTCTGCCCACAAAAGTGACTGTTAAGCTAAAAAGCAGACTCTGTATGCCTTTTAATAAAATAAGGATGTCAGTCTGATTTTCATGTTTACTTTCAGCACACGCTGACTTTGTTTGATTCCTGCTTCCCTTCAGAAGAAGCTGAAATACTATTAGGAATGGGTTAAGGGAGGGGGACTGGAAACACCCTGTTTAGCCACATCTCAAAACTGTTTGGTTTTCTCTGTGACAGGACTTGGATGTTGTTGGGGATGGCATGCAGTGCCCCCCTTCTCCTCTGCTCTCTGATCCTTCTACTTCTCTTGAGAACCAGTTAAACAAAAGTGTTGCTGAAACCCCCACAAATGTGCCACCAAGTGAAGAGTTTGCTCAACAAGGACTTCTGAACCAGGCAGCACAGCCAGGCAGAGGGTTTTTCCCCAGACAAACTGCATTTCCTGCTTCAGAGTTGCTACAAGAGCTACCCTCACAGGTACTGACCTGGGCTTGGAAGAACCTGCATGGGGTTCTGGATGGGAGTCAGTAGATCCTTTTAAGGAGTGCATTAAGGTTTCCTGGCGAAGGGTCTTGCCTCCACTAAAATCCAATGAGATTGCCTGTTCTGTAAAGATTTTCTTGAAGTCAGCCTGAATACGTGCGTAGGCTAGCTACTAAGGAAAAGGCAACCCGTGCTTGTTTGTCAAGGGGATTAGCCATCTGCTCATTGTATGTTGGAGGAGGGAAGAGGACCGTCCCCCAGCCGTGTAACATTGCACAGCTGGCCTGGCGCATTAATGCAGGAATGGGAAGTGGGTTAGGAGCTGGCAGGTGGCTGGTGCTGTTTGTTTGCGTTTCCAGAACTGTAATTGGGTTATTACTATTTCTTTAATGTTTTCTTGCTTTTTTGGTTGCATTCTGCTTAAAAATATATTCACATGAGTTCAGCTTATACCTGTTTGTTGTGCGCATATTTGTTCTCTCACTTCTGCTTTCTCAAGACGAGACTGTTTTCCTCCCATGCCCTCTGAAATGGAGGCTTTTAATTGTCTTACCAACCAGGAATCAAAACCGATCCATTCTGCAGGCCTTGAATTGAAGGCTAATGGTTTGCAGTAGCCATTGGTTTCAAGCAGGTGCCCAGAGGAAAATTTTCCCCATGGTCTGTTGGCTGTTTTGAATGTTTGAATGGAATAGCCAATTCACTGGGGAGTAACATCAAACAATGGGGGGGCAAACACCTTCTCTGGCCTGGGTATGACCTGATTCTAGAGTTGCTGTATTGCATCTTTTGCATAGGAACACACTAGGTCCAGTTTCTGTAAAAAAATCATAGGATACGATTGTCAATTTTATCCTCTCTGTTTCTCCTAGAATATACAGCATCTTGTGACAACTGGGCCAGGACTGGAGGAGGGTAAAAAGGAAGAACCTGCAACCAATGGGAATTCAGAACCAGCTTCCATCAGCTGATAAAACTCAAAACAGATGGCAATCCCCCCCCCCCCAAACGATGAAGCATCTGCTACTCTTGGACTCCTGGTTCTGTGTGTTCCTCCATCTCCATATTAAATATTTCTAGATTAGTGAAATCTCTTTCTGGAAGGCCACATGGCTGGCAGATTTTGGGTGCTTTTCTAGTGGCCTTCAGATCTTGTTCAGTTGATAGCCTTTTAGGGTTGGTTGGTTTTTAATAATTCTTCCAATAAGGCATGAGAGACTCTCAATGTTTAATGAATAGAAACACTGAGGAGCCACACCTAGTTTATATTCGTAGTCCTAAATTCATAATAAAAGGGGATGGCTTGGAAAACATTTTGTAACTGGATTATTGGGAATATGTTTTAAGTCATGGGCTTGTCCATGCTAAAGAGGTTTTTGAACTGTGCACTTGCCTGGTGATGTTTGATGGTGTCAATGCTGCACAGCTATTCCTTCTTTTTCTTTCTTTCTGGCATTTAAGTCTGTAATCAAATATCCACCTGTAGCTTTAACTTGTGTACATATCCCATGTAGTATAATAAAGACACTGGATAATGTTTATAACTTGCTTTTACAACTATGACTTTGATTGGTACATAAGAAGAGCTGTACTGGATCAGACCAAAGGCCCACCTAGTCCAACATACTGTTTTCACAGTGGCTTACCAAGTGCCTATGAGTAGCCTAGAATCAGGACGGGTATAATAGCCCTCTCTTATGCATGATCCCCAGCAACGGGTATCCAGAGGCATACAGTCTCTGATATGGGAGGTAAGTACGTAGCTATAATGATTAGCAGCCATTGATAGCTTTATTCTCCGTGCATTTATCTAATCCCCTTCCAAAGCTGTCCACCTTGGTGGCCATCATTCCATCTTGTAGTAAATTCTATAATTTTAACTGATTCCTTATGTTTGTCTGGCTCTTCCAAAAATCATCCCAAAAGAAAAGGGGGAGAGTAAATGAGAGGCACTTACTTGCATCTTTTATGGAGTTGTGTCAAAACAGAAGTCAGTGTTCAAGCTGAAACGGGGGCTGTCCTAAAAAAAAATAAGTAAACTTGGACTCCTTCTTTGTTATCCATGTTTGCAGGGAACAATGAACCGTTGGTCCTCTTCATTATAATGTTGGTGCTAATGCTTGTCATGCAACGTTAGAAATATGCCTCTAGACTTTGAACAGACAACTTGCATGTTAAGTGGGTCACCTTGGCGGTGGTGGAAAGATTAGCACAACTTCAACGGAAGCTGCCTAATCAAAAGCAAATTGCAGGTGGACATTTTTCAGGACATGGCAAAACTTAATTTTATATATGAACAGTTCAGACACAGACTGCTGGATACATGTCTAGAAAGCTTGATAATGTGTTTTAGCACTTGTACAACAAATCTCGTATGCTTCAACAATGGAGTTCTTTATCACTGGTGACAGAAGTACTTTGACTATAATAATACTCTTACAGAAAGTTGTATAATTAGATGAGCAGTGAGACTAGGAAAAGAAAATGAAATATATTGGAGCCAATAAGAAAATTGTTTGGCCACCTCGGTAGTTAGGCGATGGGTAGGATGGTGGGAGAGCAAGCTGAACTTGGCTTGGGCTGGAACTGCTTTGCAGTAGTACAGGCAGACAAGTATAGTTTCCTTCTTCATACTTGGTGCAGTGTTGCCAATCTGAAAGATTTGATGGACATCTGAAATCCTGTCGCCTGGTGCCTTTTTACATACGTCAGACTAAATAATTGCCTGAAGATGGAGTGCAACTTCTGTTCTTGGAACTGTTTTTTTATATATATGTTGTACAAGAGAGGGATAACTTGAGGTGATTTGCTATGTAATCGTATAATTATAAATTCTTGGGCAAATACAAACTTGTATGTTCTCAAGTGACTTGAGCACAGATTGTTCAGAGCATTGGATTTGGGGTGTGTATTTAACTCCTGTGATAAATGACTTCTCTCAGGGTTGTGGAATGTGGATCATGTGTTCCTGAGCTGTCCAAGCCCTGCAACATCAAGCAGAAACACACACTTTCATGTTTCACCCTTTATTACACCAATTCTTGAAAAACAGGCACTAAGTTTGGATAGAATGGTACTGAAAGAAGATCAGCAAGGTCCTGCGGGAGATTCTAGCTTTTTACTTCCTATATCTGGTAAATGTATTAACTATGTTTGCTTATGTATATTTCTCTGCCTTCAAAGAGGAATGTGTTTTACAAATTTTCCTGAGCACTATTTCTTTGCCTTTTCACAAATGCCTGTGTACTTGAGAATCAAACTTTCCACTAATCACAGAGCAAGGCTTTGTGGTGCTTTGCTTCCTTACAGCTGCAATCCTATAGAATTGCTGTATCAACAAAATTAGGACCACGGTACTCCTGTACACCCCAAGCTTTCAAACAAAACACGCCTCTATTGGTCTCTATAGCCACAGCAGGTGCTATAACTCCCAACAGTTTGACTTCACCCTGGAAGGTGCACTCTGCACTGTATTTCAAGACAGATGGATGCCAACCAACTTGTATCTTTCTTTTCTCCATCTTGCTTTTACCATGTCACTTCAAGAAGTGCCTCTTCCTAGAGAGAGGAAAGGGGTGGTCATGCATTGCACATTGGGGAAATGCAGTAGGATACATCCCATACAGTTGCAATAATATGGCAGGGCAGTGCCATGTTCCTCTTGAGAAATGTGTTACTGTGGTAGTTTTCAGGGGTAGAAGAAAACAGGTCCAATAATTGAGCACATGACAATTTCGTGTATACATGTTTTAAACTACTGTATGAGAATTGGCAAGTGTTTAGGGACTCAAAAGTGTTGCTTTCTCTGTTAAAGAAATAACCCGAGCTAAAGTCAAAAGTATTGACAAGGCTCATATCCTTATATTGAAAAACAAAACAAAATTCCTTCCAGTAGCACCTTAAAGACCAACTAAGTTAGTTCTTGGTATGAGTTTTTCGTGTGCATGCACACGAAAGCTCATACCAAGAACTAACTTAGTTGGTCTTTAAGGTGCTACTGGAAGGAATTTTGTTTTGTTTTGACTATGGCAGACCAACACGGCTACCTATCTGTAACTTATCCTTATATTGGTTCTCTTTTTCAATTTCCCTGCTTGGGATTGTGTGACTATTATGCATTTTGCCTTTCCCTTGATAGGGTATACTCATTTTATGAACTTCACATGATTAAATATGTGTGAATGTTGTGGGGAGGGAGCAAATCAGTTATTCTAACTCAGTGCATTTTAAACTATTGCTGAATAGAACAAAGGAATTGTAAGCCACAAATCTATTGACTTTAGTCCATCTTGTGGACCAATGTATAAAAGAAAAAATGGTATAAAGAAAGAATCAATGTATAAAAGAAAAAAATAAGTGAGGATTGTTTCAATCCAGAGTGCTCCAAATGACTCCACTCTCCTCATCCCTAGCTACCAGACTGACTTTAACATATTATTTACAAGAAATAGTAGACTGGCCAGGTTCTGTAGCCTTCCTATTAGAACAGTTTTAATATACTTTAATGTCAAGGCTCAGCTTGGTGATTTGGTCAGGGATTTAAAATATTAAAAGACTTATTTAGGAAAAAAATTCAGAACAAGCAGAAACAATAGCATTCTAAATTTAAACCATTTAAAATGGGAAATTATCTTCAGGTTACAGAATCATAATCTGCAAAAGCAGACCTGGCATTCATTTTCGTAAGCAAAGTTTATGATGCTGGTCACTCGAGGCTGCTTCTACCTGAACAGATAAGCCTTCATAATTATATCATTCTATCGTTAGAGATGACCTCCTTTCCATCATGGAAGTCTGTACTAACAAGGCTTTGCAATATACCTTCAACCCTGTCGAAGAAAGCAGAAAATTAAGAACCTTGCCAATTGCATATGGCAATTATCACCAAATCTCTCATGTCCACAGTGAATTATAAAGAAATAAAAATCTGAGCTTAGTTCAGGAAAAAGGACAGCAAAGAAAACCCAAAAATTGTTGAGCTTTTTTACAAAAATGCCAAAACACAATTTTTCAATTGACTTGTCTAAGATCCAAGACAAAGGACGAACTTTCAGAAATTTCCTCCGAACGTCAGTTCCACCATTGAAATCCGGCAGTATGGCAGCACTAGTTATTTATGAAGTTTTCACAATTGATATAAGAGAATGAGTTGTTCTGGGACATTGGATATGTAACAAAGGATTCAGTGCTGTATTCAGCTCCTGTTTGTGCTAGGCTTCTGTTGACCTCATTGATTGAGGGGACTGAAAGGCAGGAGGAGTTGAGCAGAGGCCTTCATTGCTCTGGGGGCATTTCAGTTGCCTCCATCAAGCTACCAAGACAGTTGCAGGCACATCTAGAAAACAAACCCATAGCTTTACAAAAGGGCTAGGGCTCCATACTCTGGATATATCTCTGATGATTCCCAACCTGACCACCCCTATCTCCCCAAAGGACCCTCTTGCTCACAGCACAAATGTGCCTCTTCTTGGTGTTAAGGCAGGGAGCCTACAGAGTTGGCAAGCCCTCAAGGGTGCAAGGGCTCCATCTCCAGCACACGCAGTTGTCTTTAGGGTGTAGATCTCCCAGAGGTGGGAGATGCCATGAGGGTGCTACCACTAAGAAGTCCTGTCCTTTGTGGTAGCCAACCCAGCATCAAACAATTCCTCACTTCTGTGAAGCATCCCTTTTCCATAAGCTACACAAGTATACAAATAGTACAGTACACTAAAGTCTGAGA